GGCTGCCTACTGGAGGACTCATTATAGGAACAGACAGGGCAAAGGGAAAAAAGTACCACCAGCGAGGCTAAAGCAGTGCCTCACCCCCCAGGAAAAGCGAGATGGATGATGGCCCGAGGCAGGGTGATAGCACAGATGGGGACTAGAGCACGATTTCGAGACACACTGACAATATACCAAGGCAGGAGGAGAGCCTGTGGAGGAGTCTAGACGAAGTGCGGGGCGCAGCCCGCATCCGACTGGGACCCAAGAGGGAGGCTCCAGGCCAGGGCTGCCAGGACTCCGCGTCCCGGCGTCTAAGCCCGGAACCAGTCCCTGGCGGCGCGCCCGCCGAGTGTTTCCCGGCAACCGCCGCCGCCGGAGGAACGTTCCGAACCCGGCGGCTCCACGACGTCACCGTCACCTTGGAGACGGGCGAAGGGAACAAGTCCCGCGGGCGCCGGGGGCGGGGCTGGAGCCGAGCGCACCGCCTCCTGCGGGCGAGTTCAGCCCCGCCCCATCCAGACGTGGGGGGCGGGGGGAGGAACCAGGTGTGGCGACAGGTGTGCGGGAGCCTGGGCAGCCGCTGCCCCCCTCCGGTTCCCTTTGCGCTCCACACCCACACACCGGCTTCTCCCTCCCCTTCCTGCTGAGCCACCACTTTCAGCCGATAGGCTTGGCTCGTGGGCCATTATGGTCACCTCCGCAAAGCCGCGGTCCCAGACCTTCCAAGCTCGAGTAACTGCCAACCCTTCCTTCGTCGACTGACGTTTATTATAGTCACAGTTATTCCTCCCCTGTAAATTTATCTAATCTGCGACGTGTTGTTTTCGCTCTTAAAAGTTCCGTGAGGTCAAGGATAAATTCTGCCTTGCTCATCTCTATTTTTAGCACCTTGAAGGGAACCCAGCACGCAGTGCTGATAAGCGTCAGTGGGATGAGTCGACAGATGCGCTCCTGCTTTTCCTTCACGTAGGCATTCGTTTGTTGCGTGTGCAGGCGCCCCTGATGAGCGCTAGGGATACAAAGATGAGCAAGTCAGGCACCCCCCCTGCAGGTGAAAGCGGAGATGTGTTACAAACGAATTAGGGCACTACTGAGAGTGAATGTCTTTGAATTCCTGAGGCCAAAGTTAAAATACTTACTAATTTACTTAATCTACACAGTTATAGGTGCTATAATCGGGCCCATCTGACAAAAAAGAACACTGAGGAGATCAAGATGAGCCAAGCTGCTGGGCCCTGCAAGGAATTGAGATTCTGTGAAGGCAGGATAGGGAGACTTCGGGTCAGGGGCTCAGAACCATGGGGATACCAGGCACGGTCAGGCAGGTTTGGCTTCTGGATTGTGTCCTGCCCATCAGAGTCTGTCAGAGGAGCAGCGGATGTGGCGCTGCTGGGGAGCCCACTCTACCAGCTGAGCAAGCATGAGGCGCCAGTGTGGATTGGGTGTGCCGGCGGCAAGGTCCTGGGCTAGGGTCACAGGGCAGGAGCCTGCCTTCCTGTTCAAAATGGAGCAAAGTATGTGCAAATTCCCACAGAAACTTGTGAGGAGAACCCCACCTGCTAATGCCCCTTTCTCTGGAAGTCTCCAGGTGATCCAGGAACTAAACTTACTCCATCTCTGGGTCTCAATAAGTTCTGTTCTTTCTGTCTGGCACCTGCCCCCAACTTCCACTAGCCAGATGCTTGCATTCAGATTTCAGAGGAACTATTTCATCCTTGTGGAGGTTCTGCCGTGGCACCTTCTCCAAGGAAATCCCTTGCCATCGTCCTATCACTGCCTGTTAGGACTCCTTCCCACAGTGGAAGGTAGCCCAGTCAGGTTCATCACTCTGCTCCTGATCTGATTTTTCTCATCTCTCAGTTTCCTGAGAGCAAGACCCTTAGATCTATAGAGCATATCTGGCTTTCAGAGATGCTCATGCTTTTAGAAAGACAGACTGAAGCTGGGTATGGTAGTGCATGCCTGTAAGTTCAGCCCTCCTGAGGCAGGTGGATCATGAGTCTAAGGCCAGTCTTGGCTACACAGTGAATGACAGGCCAGCCTGGATTACATATTGAGACCTGTCTCACGGAAAACAAACAAGTAAAAGCCCAGGGTGGTACTGCATACCTATAATCCCAGAACTCTGAGAGGTTGAGGCATGGGAATCACAAATTTAAGTCCAACCTTGGAGCTTAATGAGACCCTGTTTCAAAAGAAGAGCTGGGGATACAGCTCTGGAAGAAGGTCCTAGCTATAACTCCTAGTACTGATGAGAGAGGGAGAGAGAGAGAAAGGGAGAGAGAGAG